CCAGATAAAATATCGATACCTGAGAAAAGTTCAGTGTATGAGCACTCTTCATATATTCTTTTCTTTTGTCAAATTAAAAAAACAACACCATTTTTTAATCATATTATAATGTTGTTTACATTTACAGAAATAATTTATCCTTTGTTATTAATTCATCGGAAGTTCGCGCTTTAAAATTAGCCTTTGGTATTGATACACCAACAGAAGACAATTTATTTGCTGTAGACATTACAGACAATTTCATAGATGAAAACAATAAAGGTGAAAGTCAAGCAGCGAAGAAGATCACTGTTAGGCTATTTCTTAAACCAAATGAAACTGTTCTATTGCCAATTAAATATGAAGAATACACAATGTTTCCTAATATTAAACAATATCAAGGTGTAGATGAAAGAAATGTAAGTTTAACATTGAAAAAACAACATCTTTTCAAGTTTGATGGTGAACTGACTTCAGCCAGATAACCATTACATAGCAAGGAGGACTGAATGGCTGTTTCATCCTGGTGTGAGACTCTCCAGTGGTAAGTTTTAATGAACCTCCAAAGCAGCAGTTGTGACCCACAGTTTACGAGGCGAGCTCGTTTGCCATTTAGCCACTGGGACAGAAACTGTATGTTCTATGCATTCTAACTTCTGCCAATGCGCAACATATAGCACGAAGCCCAACCAATGTCATCTGCGAGAATATGTCTTAATATGTGACTTAATCGAACTAAAACAGCCACAACTTCTAAAGAGAACTTCAACCTGTAGTCAGTTACTAAGGAACACTAAACAGGCAGATAATATAATTAAAGAGCCATTGGATCCGTCTCACTGACTCACCATTTTAACTTGAAGACCCTGGGTTGGATCTCTGGATGAGTCATGAGTGAGCGGGTGCCAATGAAGAGTCCCAAGCTAGGATGAAACAGCTGTTCAGTACTTTCTGGTATTCAATGGTTCTCGAACTGAAGTCATTTAGTGATCAGTCAAACAGACGCTTGAAAATACATACTTTGTTTTGTAAAATACATTGTTTGAAACACAGGGTAGGAAACGAACAAGTTAAAAGGCCTAAGCATATTACACAAAGTAAGATGTATTTTAATATGTATTATCATAAATTCTTTAAGTGGACTTTAAATTGAACGACATTTGCACAATAACAAATAACTGCATTTTGTAAGGGGTAATATATATATATATATATATATATATATATATATAAGATAAGGCGTTTCAACTCCAATGTGAAGTCAGTGCTACTTACTATACAGATCAGAGACTTGGCGTAGTGTCACGAAGTACAGACCTTCATTAACAGCTGTCTTCTCACAATACTTCGCTCAAGATCAGATGACCGGCCAGAAAAGATCACCAACAGGGCTCTCTGGCAATGAGCGAACCAACCCAGCAGGAACCGACTGTACAACAAATATGCAGGAAGAAATGGAGGTGGATTAGCTGGCCATACTTTGAGAAAACAAACCGTCAAGTGACATCCCACGCCAGGCCATCACAAGAGTGGAATCCGAGTGGGAAGTGGCGAGTTGGTCGTCAGTGCGAGGGTAGGGTGACACGGAGGTCATGTAGAGCGAAGATGAAAGCATCTGGGCAGACATGGAGCCAAATGAAAACGTTTGTGGAGAACCGAAGGCAATGTAGACGTGCGGATGAAGCCCTATGTTCCTCTAGGAATTAAAGGAAACAATAATAATAGTAACTTATATATATGTAACGCTGTAAAAATAGGCATATTTGGTGGATTTATTCCTCGGTCAAGATTATTCCTTTAATCACTGACTTTAGCTCTAATATTTCAACAAAGTAGTGTCCTCTATAACCGCCTAGTTCTGCATTGATAATCAAGAGGAACTCAAATGAATGCAGAAGCCGAAATCCAGTAGGCACACTTTTCTTAACCACTTAGTGATTACTTTTGTTTTGAATATGTTATTCAGAATTGTTCCCAATATAATTTATTATTATAACATTCAGCTGGATACTAAACAAATGACAGTGCCCTGGGATCCAGTCGCGCAGTGAGTTTTCTGCTATTTATTTTAGTGCTATACCTATGCAAGAAAGTTCACGGAAAAAAGGAAGAAGATCTCACACTCATATAGCGAGTTTTATATATGAAGATAAGAAAACAATTACAATTGGGAGTTAAATGTGTGTCTCAAAAACACATCCAAAGACAAAGATACCAAAGTTTTGACCGTTGAATCTTGCCACCCTATCAAACATGAGATTCGGGAATCTGGAACTCAAATATGAAGTTGAAAAATGTGCTTGTAAGACAGTTATTTTAGCCTAAGTCACTAAAAATTGACACAAAGTTAATATAAGATGAATAAGCTGCTTTGAGAATAGTATCAGTAGTGATATGAAAGCAAAGAAATAAAAATGACTGATGGACGTTAGGACCATACATGCATATGAATATATGTTGATCGATACCCCCACCATCCAAGTTGAATTCATCTTCCAGAGGAAAAGAATTAGCTTTTAAATGACTGTGAAGACCTAGGGAAAACTGCCTGAGACCTTCTGCACACTGCGTGCTTCAAGTTAGAGTTGGCAAGACTCCTGCAGAGTACTCAAGTCAAAAGTAGATGTCTGCTCAAAGCATCACTTATCATGGGTAGAAGGACTATATGCAACACATGAACTTCAATATTTGTCTAGTTTTGGTTAAGCCTTGAAATCAACGCCGAAAAGTCCTGCTAAAGTCAAACAATTATCATTCATTGGTTATCAGATTTTTATATTAATCATATTACTGATACCATCAATCAACCTACTGATATGCACTTTTATTCCTTACTATAGCTCTCAGAATTTACTTCAAATATTGAAGATGAACCAAAAGAAATGAAGCGTGTTGCACAGGTAAGATAATTTATTATTATTCGGTATTTCAGTTTTCTACCCTGTTTAGAACGTTAAAAACTAGCTACATATAAATATTGTACGTCAGTGGTTCAGCGGTAGAACGCTTGCCAATCATACATGTGATCCGGGATTCGGTCCTCCGCCAGCGTACTCCTTTGCCTCGCTAAGCCAGTAAAGAGGAAAGGTTGGCCGTGAGGCCCCACTCCGTAAAAATAACAAAAAACCCACTGCTACTGGAACTCCAAAGCTCTAGCTTGAAAACCTATATTCCACTTGGAATGTAATGCACTCAAACAATAATAGCTAAATAATATATACAAACCTTTTAAATGTTTAACAAGAGGAAATTGAGTGAAGGAAGCAGTATGTCATTTTTATTTTCCTCCTAATCGATGAGTTAATCTTGATATTTGAACTGAAATAAGTAACCTCAGGTAACTATACTTATGGTCATCGAACAAAGCATAGAATGGCAGTCGAACCTCCACCTCAACTTCATCGACTTCTGAAAGGCCTTCTACAGATATCATTGACCTAGAAGTAATATGGAAACTACTTCAACACTATGGCGTGCAGTGCTCCAAGTCTTTATCAACCTCATTCAACAGCTGGCTATATGACAGTGCAGCATGTCAAGTGATCTACAACGGAAAACTAAGCGTGGCATTCGAAGTGCATATAGGAGTAAGACAAGGCTGGCTGCCTATTATCACCAAAGATATTCTTAATTGTGGTGGACTGGATTATGCGTTGGACTGTTGGGGGCGAGGAGTCAGGACTACACTGGATGATGGATAAAAAGACTCTAGAAGTTCTGAATTTCGCAGATGATATATGTCAAATGTCACACAAACTCGAAGACTTGCAAGCGAAAACCAACAAACTGGCTGAAGAGGCTGGCAGCGAAAACAGGACTGCAGGTGAACATAGAGAAGACGGAGGTGATGAAGATAACCAATCAACAGCAACAACAACCAGCACCAATCACCATCAACGGGAGAGATTTAACAGAGGTTGCCTCCCCATTTATCTGGGAAGCATCGTTTCAACCACAGGCAGTCGGAACGGATGAAGATGTCAAAGCCAGTCAGAATCGGAAAGGCAAGATAAGCCTTCATCAACCTGAAACCAGTTTGAAAATCTTCTACACTCCACCTCATCATAAGGAACAAGATTCGCATTTTCAACACTAATATCAGGTCAGTCCTTCTATACGGGTCATAGGGTATAATGAAAAGGATTTCTAACAGCCTTTTGCAGACTTTCATCAACAGCTGTCTTCGCTGGCTCCGTACTGAAGATCAAATGGCTAGAAAGAATAAGCAACAAGAAACTTTGGGAACAAACCAACAATCAAGAGCCGATCGCTCAACAAATATGTAGGAGAAAGTGGAGATGGATCGGACATACGTTGAGGAGGCCGCCGAAAGACATTGCACACCAGCCCATTGCTCGAGTGGAATCCAAATGGAAAGGGACGAGTGGGTTGTTCAAGTGTGACATGGAGGAAATCGTGTGAGGAGGAGATCTGTGACCTTGGGCATTCGTGGACCCAGTTGAAGAGGACAGCAGAAAATAGAGCGAAGTGGAGATGTGTTATTGAAGCCCTATATTCTACTCAGAACCCAAGGGAATAATAATAACGTTGATAATAATGAGAGCGAAGACGAAAACACAACAGGACGTCAAAAAGATGTCAGCCGTCCAGTAGAACTTTGTAATCCAAATAAATGAGATACTCACAGAGTCAATAAATACGCAATCTTCTACCCATTAAAGGCCTTCAATTATTGACTTTCCAAATGATTTTGGTAGTGTAATTACTGTTGAATATCAGTTAAATTTCGATGTTATCTTTGGAAACCAGCGTACCAAATTAAAGGTGTTGATTAAGAAGCGATATTCGCTATTCTTTATCAATGTTTGATGACAAAAACATTTAGAATGTTACAGTTTATTGATAACACTGGTTTGATAATTTCACACTTGACTTATGTAAGTGATGAAAAACTACTGCAATTCCCAACTAATTTAAGAGGAAAGTTTGAAAGATCTTGCGACGTCCACCTCATGACCCGTTTCACTAGCCAGAGCCTATCCCGCAGTTAAGCTCGTTCCCGTCTAACGAACAACTTGCTCTTTGGTACAATCAAAATCTATAGATATCCTTCTCATGTTAACTCCAACTGTATATACAAATTTACATGTATCTGCGGAAGCAGTTACATTTGAAGAACACAAAGAAGGAAATACCTACGATTTTCCAAACATGTACCAAAAAGCTTATGTCTAAAGGGAACAAATGCTTTAAACAGTGCCATCGCCAGGCATCTCCTTGACACAGGTCATGAGGTGGACGTCACAAGATAGTTCAAAATTATCAATAGGCAAAAGAGTTCAATTCTCCTCAAGTTTGTTGAAGCCATTTCCATCAAGCGCCTAAAACCTGATTTATGCGTTCTGAAAGAAACAGTTATCAGTCTTTTTTCGCCCTGCCTGGTAACTGAATATTTTCATCTCTCTTTCATCGGAATACATAATGGCGAAAAGTTTCCATTGTGTATGATCTTTATTGTTAGGGGTAAAGTGATTATTATTGCTACATATATTACTATTGTATGCATATATTGATTGATTGATTTTTGTTTAAAAATGAACTATCTGTGCAAATATGTTAAAATTGTTTCTGTTGATATATTTAATAATGACTTCGGCCTGTAAGCAGTTGACGAGAATCCAACGAAATAACGAATGATGGTACCATTTTATTCTGCAAAAACTGTAGTTCTCTCTTTATTCAAATTACTAGGAAAGGACTGACAAACAGACGAAGAACTTTGTACTGTTTAAGTTGCTATAAATTGTAAAGGCACACACTAGAAGCATAAATGCCGAAAATTGGTATGAAGGAGAGAATAATTATATGGATGTTATTGAAGACATTCATAAACGGCAAGATACAGTGTGAACATAGTTTTACCACAATCAACCATTTGAGCTATTCAAGAAGTGTTCCGGGCATTTAGAAGTCATGACCAGAAAGGGTTCACCATCTGAAGCGTGAAGTGGCTGTTCATCGATGCCATTTGTTCATGGTGACTCTGTATCGTAAAATGAGAGAAGTTAGTAATTACAGGTCGCTGGATTCCAACCAAGTGGTTGCATAGAAAACAGCCTGGCCTTGGGGTCTTATCCTCGATGGATTCTTAGTGCGCACTGCTAAAGAGTTGCACAGTAAGATAGAGCAGCTGTCCCGTGGTTGTCCAAAACTTCTCAACTGATTTGTTTATTGATGGAATCTGCACTGAGATCAACTAGCATTAGGACAAGTCTGAGAATTATGAAAAAGTATCACAAACGACATCGCTATAGTTGCTTATCAGTTTGACTGTTAATCATGTTGGTCAATACTAATGACACTATTCGCCTGTGTTCTCAAGTTATTTTAGAGTATCAAAAGTCAATCTGAACGAAGAATATTCTTATCAATGTTTCTCCTCTTCAGCTTCTTACAAAAATAAAATATAATATTTGTTGTCGTTACAATAATGGCCAGTTATGTGGCGGATACATTTTTAATTTAGAATAACAGATTAGTTATGAGGTGTCAAAATAAATAGTCGTATTTGTGTGACAAACGTCGTGCTAGGCTAAAATCGATTACAAAATATTTTCAAATGGGAGACAATGTTGGTGATTAATCATATTAGATTTGTAGAGTGAGGGGTAGGAAAATTGACAAGTCAGTTCAAGGCAGGTTCGTCTACGGGTTCGAGAACATTTACCAGCTTGGTTCAGCAGGGGGGAAATTAAGTGCATGAAACGCTCGATCTTGTCACACTTGGTCGATACTGGACATAGCATCGATGTCAACACAGCTTTCAGGGTTATATACCGGATTCAGAAGTCGTTATCACGTACAGTTCACTTACGTCTACTACACATAGCTGAAGCTGTTACAATAAGATCGGCTAAATCGGAACTTTGCATCCAAAAAGAACACCCCCAGACACTATTCCTACTGTGGTCAAACTTGGACTGATGATTCTTCTTCTCATCTAGAGTGCTTCTTCCCCTCAACCCTCTTGGTTTTTTCTTCCATTGCTTATTATTACAATTATTATTATTGGTTTAAATTTATAACCTTCGTGCAAACATTCTCTTAATACTATCGAATTTTTCATTTATGCTATCTGGACTTATTATTAATGATATTATCTCTTTTCTAAATATATGCCTCCACCTGCTTCATTTCACACATTTGTTATTTCATTATAAACCTCTCATTGCAGTCTTACTATCTCCTATATAATAAATGCCACTTTGTACTAGCCACTCACCTGACACCTTTTATAACCTTGAACTGACTTGTCAGTTTTCCAAACCCTCACTCTACAAATTTATTATGACTAATCACCAACATTGTCTCCCATTTGAAAATATTTTGTAATCGATTTCAGTCTAACACGACGTTCGTCACACAAATACGACTATTTATTTCGACACCCCATAACTAATCTGTTATTCTACATTAAAAATGTATCTGCCGCATAACTGGCCTTTATTGTAACGACAACAAATGTTATATTTTATTTCTGTAAGAAGCTGAAGAGGAGAAATTATTGAAAAGAATATTCTTCGTTCAGATTGACTTTTAATTCATTTTCGTTTTATTTCACTTTATGTTATTTTATTCTAACATATTATTTAGTTTACTCATCCTATGTCGTCTCCATCCTATAATATTCACATTTCCGAATGTTCTTTATTTTCCGATCATCTGTTTCACACATATCGTCTATTGAACTTTAGGTTGACCGCTATTTATTTAGTTATTCATTCATATATCTAATCAATTCAATTGTTACTCACCATACTCCCTATACACCAATATTATTATAGCACATTTCTTGGAGGATTATTATTATTATTGTAAGAACCTGAAAAGGAGAAATTATTGGAAAGAATATTCTTCGTTCAGATTGACCTATAATTCATGATATGGGAATATTTCACACTATTAAATTATAGAGTATGAGTACACGCAGGTTCCCTAGTTTATTCCCACCTTCTAACATCCACTTATCTTCAGATATTTGTTGTTTTTTTCCCGTTTTATTTTTAAAGATAATTTTCAAATCAACTACATATGGAAAAATAATATCACAATTAACTCTTCATATTCATATCCGGCCACCAATAATTGATCAGAGTTTTCGATGTTTTCATCCTGAATTAAGTTTCTTGAAGAAAATTTTACGTCTTCCTCGAAGTGCTATAGACTGGAGGAATATTTCTGCTGCCAAACAAAATACAATTCAACAGACTAACCATCAGCTGTGGACTAGAGTTTCTGATCCAGATGTTTTGACTTTATCGAATGTCCAGGGGGATACAGTTGATATATTGATTAAAGTTGGTCTAGGGAAATCACCACAAGTAAGATGACTGAAGTGTGTTTTATAGTAAATACCTTAGTTAGTTTTTGTTGAATCAAGATATGCGGGAACACACAAGTAATTCTTTTGCATATATTTGTGTATTGTGTGCGTCGGTGGCACAGTGGTTAGGACTCTCGTCGACCATGCACATGGTCCGGGGTTCAATCCCCTGCCGACGTACACCCGATATCTATGGTCGGCCTGCAAAATTTGGGCTGCCGATATCCATGCTGAAAATTCTATACTTGTACTGAAAATACTGTGTGGAATCAAGCTGTAATCAAAATATCAAATATCTGATTTCTTTATTGTGTGACACTACAAAAATTCTGTTTTGAAATGGAAGCTTCTATCATTTTACTTTTTAATCGACTGTTATACGCATTATTTTCTTCATCCTGAAACATCGTTATCAAACCGTCTTGACTATAAGGAAAAGGAAATGTGACGACATTCTATGAAAGCAAACTAAACCCATCTTTTTCTCATATTCCAGTAAATATTTCCCCTAGAAGTGGTTGTTTCTACAACTCAAGAATTTGGATCCACTCAATAAATTATTCTGTCTGTCTCTCTCTCTCTATTTTCGACATAGAACTTTGCACAGATGGGCAGCAGTTCAAGTCGCCACACTCCATTCATGTGGCGCACAAAGCAAGAGAAGAAAGTAGAAGAAATGCATAATAGAGACAATAAACAGAGATATGAGGCAAAAAGAATAGTAATATCAAAGAACCATATAGTCTCATTGAAAATTATAAGTCACAAGGAGTGGATGCATCTGCACCATCACAGAACTATTTTGAGCCATATCACCAATAGTCTCCAGCCATTGGCTTTTATCATTTCGAGGACTCCAACGAGGAAGTCTACACCTCCTAACATGGCCAGCTTAAACTAAATGTTGTGGATTTCGTTGGCTGATGAAGCCATGTTTTGGTTTGACCACCAGTGGCTTTATTCCAACCTGACCCTATGTCAGCTAACATTGCCCGTTGAGGAAGGCGATGGCTAAATATACGTAACACATGCCCTAACCATCTCAATCTGTGTAACTTCACAGCCTCGTCGATTAGTTTCCCCTCCTTACCTAGTACTCGACGCCTAACCTCAATATTGCTCACCCTATTATACTACTTCACACGAGAGATAGAACGTAGGCACCTATGATCAAAGACAACTAGCCAGCCTTTTCATGTCTTCCACTCTCAATGGCCATGTCTCGCTCACAACCATAAAGCTGGACGGAGCGGACTGTCTTTGAGCAGTACACTCGCCGTTTGGTCGATGGCCGGATACCACCTCTGCGCCAGAGACGGCGTAGACTGGCATATGCGAAACTAGCCTTCTGTATCCATGCTGAAATTTCGTCAGAGATCAACCGGTTGAGGCTGATGCAACTTCTCACTCCCTGTTTCTAAGCTAGGAGTCAATGTAGTCCAATCATGTAGCATCATCTGACACTTGGTAGAGGGAGCGAATCGCATGGCAAAAATTTGAAGATTGCAGCTCCTCAAAGTGTTCAGAAGACTCTGCATTTTGTCAGCGTCTTCACGTAGAAGGGACGACTATATCATCTGCATATTCTAAGTCAACCAGATTATCTCCTAGTAACAGATCAATCCCTGAGTCACTGAATTCGGCTAGGGTTAAATCCATTAGTACATCTGTAATGAAACTGAATAGAAATGGGTATAGAGGGCCAACCTGACGGATATCACTAGTTGTCACCAGTTCAGATGACAACTCGCCGATTTACCACTCTCAGCCGTGCGGGATGACATTTTAATACTGAACTTGTGTTATTTTACCCTTGATCATAAAACTTAGTCAAATTGTGACCGTTCTAATATGACTTACTCATATTACTAATGACTATATTTCTGATTACAAGACAAGCTCATAGACCATTCATCCACTGGGACTAGATCCAAGGTCCTACGAATTCTAACTTCTGACAACTCGTGATTTTAGCGCTACTACCAAACAATGCTATCGAGGAGTATATATCCTCACTCCCGACTGAATGGACCCCACTGGTTAGGACTTCTCACAAAAATCCATTAAAATAAGTTCGTCTAGGACAGCTAGCCAGTGAGTGCCTCCTGGTTTTCACTGGTTCTCTAACTGATTTCAATGCGTAGTCGAAACAGCAACAAATCAAACTAACCTTTGATAATTAATCTGGTGCTTGCTAGTGGCTGGCTACATGACAAAGTTGCCTGGAGTTTAGGTGAGGAGTCGGTGACTAGGGGACTTCATCCTGTCGGAAGTGAGGACAAACACCCACCGATGATAATGTCCGATGGTCGCGCTAAAATCACGAATTAGTAGAAGTTAGTATTCATGGGCTAGCCATTGAGTCAGGTTCTAGTTGCTAAATGGCCTACAAACTTGCCCTATAAAACCGGGAGGTCTTGGGTTCGAACCCTAGTGGGTAAGTATTGTCGACTGCATTTCTGCAAGGTAGATTAATTCATACTCAGAAAATTGTTTTTCAAAATATAGGATATTAAATCATATGACCAATCATGGTTTTTCTATATATAATGTCAATAATCTGATTAAGTGTCATCCACTATGCTGCAGCGCTTTCAACATAAATGCTTCTTTACCCCCTGTCCACTCTTTTCTTCTTAAATTGAAGAAGTATAAAGAGACAGAGAAGAAATATCGTTTTAGTAGATCGATGATTATGACTACTCATGCATATAGTGGCGTTTGTTTTTGTCCATTTAAGGTGCGTGAATTTCTTATCAGTGTCTATATAGAACCTTTTCAAATTCGTCCAGCGTATATCTGGCACTGGGCTGTACATTCACTTCAACGAGTCGATGCTATTGCAACAGTTGGACAGTTATCCGCTCCATTAGGATTATTATTACGTACAGATGACTGTTCTCCAAATATTGGTACAAAACGTGTCAGTGTATACACTAGTCATCCCAACGAAGTTATAATTGGTACAGAATTTAATTCAAGTAGCTTTCAACAGAATCCTATGGGGAAAGAATTGACATTATCTGTTTCATCACGTTCTGTTTATGAATTGAAGGTTGGTTTATTTTGTTAAGTCTATTTTTTTTTTGAAGTTTCCGTGGCTGTTGGGTAGTGTTTTTTGCCGGATAGGGTTGCTAGGCCCCCACAGCCAACCTTTCCTCCTTTTTCGGGCATGGGACAGGCTAGTAGACTAGGGGACTAGGCGAAAGGTGCTGCAGAAGTCATCTGTTTCACTCAGGACCCAAGGGGTGAATGAAAACATAAAAAGTCACCTGATCACAGGGAATAATAAAAAGACAGCTACAGAGTAGAAAATCTTCTTTCCGACGAAGTCATCAACTAGACTGTACATTCGTGTATTTATAATAAATGGGTGAGAAAGTTCCAGAATAATTTCCGGTCAAGGGTCAAATTAATAAAATTACAATTGGGAATTAAAATGCCATAATAAACAGGGGGACGGATAAAACTCAAAGTAGCATCATAACTATTGGGAAGATTGACATATTGTGCAATTGGGAGTTACAAATGTAGAAATAACAAAAATAGACAGGATGTTTGGATGAAAAATATAGTGGGATCATAACTAATGTGACGAACAATTGTTTTAGGCGCTTCAAGAAAGAATCAACTTCTGCAGTGTGGACATCCGGGAAGTAACAACCGCGTGCACACTTCTATAAGCATACAAAGCTTTCCTGATCAATACACACCTTCATTTCTATCTTTTCCAGGTTTGATGTATGCATGTTTGCTTATCTAAGATAACCAACGTAGAGTGAGTAGAAAGCGGATATGAAACTTATTTTGCAAAATTTATGTTGTTAATGGAGAAATCACGGCAGTAACACATCCTCTTTCATCTACATATTAACTAAGAACACCGAATTTCTTGTCTATCACCTACTAATTTTTAACCAAATTATAAAAAACCCAGAAGAACATAATTACAACAAAAATTAAACTCTGTTTAATAAAAATTTCTTATCCTTGTGAAGGTGAAATTATGTCCGAGATCCTCTGGTAAGAAAGTCTATCAAATCAATGTGGTGGATATAGATAATCAACGAGTAATACGTGCTTGGATTTTATGTGTCGACGCTAGGCAACCAGAAGTTACAAAATCGTTCAACATAAAACTGCCTAAACGCGGTATTAATGAATCTTGTAATAAGCGTGTTTCTTATACTAATCCATACAAATGTAATAAAACATTGGTACTAGAAACTAACAGACCTGACCTGCTGAAGTTCAAGGTAAGTTTCATAATTTATCGTTATATTTTCCTCGGAATAAATAAGTTGGGATGAGTTCAGTATTAATAGTGCTTAGAATCTGTGTAGTGTACATTGTACCTTCCAACTTTTGTTTGAATGAACTCAGTCTGACCTTTAACCCAACTTCCACTTTGTATTCCTGAACCTCCTGTACGGTTTCGGTTTCGCTCTCTCGCTGTACTTTCATCCAGTACACTCTCCTGGCTGACCACCGTCTCACCTGCAGATAAGTGTGTACCTCTTATTTCTTATCAAATTCTATATCTCTTTTGTGTAAATACAATTCTGTTCCAGTCACACTTGTCATCCCAAGTCTTTTAACCTTGATTCCGTTCGTTAGTACTTGCACGTTAGACAGAGTACGATTAAGGCCATAAGCGGTGAAGAAGTTTTGTAAGAGTGGTTACTTTTAGGTCGAAGTTAATCCTAAGTCTAACTCTTACATCTGAATTCATTTGGTTGGCTTTAAACTGATCGGTTCATCCCACCTAATTGATGGTGTTCTTATCGAAGTAGTAACTATACGCCTGTCGCTCTCATTTACTATATTCTAATACAACAAGCAAGGGTTTATTCCACTACTGATCGAAACTATCATATTGTCTTAACAGTTAAAAAGCAGGTAGTATTGTAACGACAGAAGACAAGGACCAGGCAACAGATCGTTTATTGGGAAAATCAAGAGGTATTTACATATTTTTATGTACATTATTATTCGTCATTATTAGCAGAGAAACAGCGTCTTCTGATTGGTTGTTTCCTCGCTGAAAGTTATTCTGTCATCTCTTTGTGGCCATTTCATTGAAGGTCAGACCATATATCTGTGAATCGTATCCGCCTGCGCTTTGTTCTTGTTTTTTCTCATGACCAAGATTCAGGACGTAAACATTGACGTAAATTGCTTGTTGTCTACCAATTTTGGCTGGCGGATAGCTCTCACCACAGTGTTATAGATATTATAAAGAGTTCATATATTAAAAAAGGTGACTATGTTAGATTTAATGAACTAAAATTGTACTTTAACTAAACACTAGGCAACAGGTAAAGAATGTCAAGCGTCTAGTCCTTTGTTTGATGCAGACTGAATTCTACCAGCCAAGTTCGCAACGTGGCCACTAAGGTAGCTCACCATCACACTGTACACTCAATTGGTGTTATTAGGTAGTTGGAGACAATCAACAGGAAATCTTGGACGTAGGTTTCGTGCTTGTTGGCACTCATCAGTAATGCATAACTGTAGCATCTAACATGAAGCTGCTTAGTGAAATAATACTGCTAATAATAGGTAATACTGGTGGTCTGATGTATCTAAATGGTGATACGACACTCCGGTGACGAAGACTTGTAAATTCAAACAGCCAATCAGTTTGATGTTTACATTGACAGCCTGTCAGTCTACACAACACTCAAGAAGTTACTGACTACTCCGTGTAAATCATTATTTGGTTTGGTTGGAGTTTTTGAAAACGTTTGGAATCAATAGTGTTCTCTGAGCTGGTTAGTTTAGTTGCAGAGCTTTCGTCGTACTTCTGGACAACATCTTCAGCGCAATTGTTAGCGTAAAGTGAACTGATTTAAATTTCTTCATGAGTGACAGAAATTTGTATTCGTCAATTCCATTTCATATAAGTTTATTTGATATAATGTATAATGATACATAAGAAGAACTGAATAATGTTTCTAGTATACTTTACTGCTCCTGTGATAATCACAGGGGATTAGCTTGACTAATATAGTATCTAAGCGTCGGTGGCACAGTGGTTAGGAAGCTTGCCGACCATGCACATGGTCCGGGGTTCGATCCCCGGCCGACGCACTCCTTTACCTCACTAAGCCAGAAATAATGCTGGTGAAGAGGAAAGGTTGGGTATGAGGCTAGTAACTCCATCCTGTAAAAATAAACATTGCTACAGAAACTCCAAGCCTTTAGCTTGAAGCCCTATATTCCACTGGGAACGTGAAGGAAAAAATAAATAAAATAATAATAAATATAGTATCTAAAGTGCTAGGCTCAATAATAATGCGTAGACTTGACCTAAAGGCGGCATTCGATTCTGTCGACTGAGAGGTACTCTGTCGATGCTTGGCTGTAAAGGCAATGCCGAGAAAATACATTGCACTGTTCAAGGCCCTCTACTCGAACTCATGCAGTCAGCAAGATGAGAGGTTACGGCGAGTTGTCATCTGAAGTGGTGACAACTAGTGGTGTCCGACAGGGATGCCCACTATCCCCATTTCTATTCAATTTCATCATAGATGTACTAACCCTAACTGACTTCAGACTCAGGGATTTACTTGTTAGCAGGGAATAATCTCGTCGACTTAGAATATGCAGATGATATAGTCGTCCCTCCTAGGTGAAGACGCTGATAAAATGCAGTCTTCTAAACACCTTGAGCTGCAATATGCGAATGTTTGGCATGCAATTCATGCGCTCCTGTCAAATGTAATATGGTCATTGCTACAGGACTGGACTACATCGACTCTTAGCTTAAGACAGGGAGGTAGTGAAGTGGTTGGTGGAGTGTGTTGACTACTTCACTTATTTGGGAAATTGCATCAGCCAGCGCCAGCGGGTTGATCACTGACGCAATCTCAGCACGGATACAGAAGCCTCGTTTCGCATATGCCAGTTTACACCGTCTGGCGTAAACGTGATATCTGACTATCGACTAAAGGGCGTGTGTACCGCTCATCAGTTCGCTCCGTCCTCCTTTATGGCTGTGAGACCTGGCCATTGAGAGTGGAAGACATGAAAAGACCAGCTAGCTGTCTTCAATCATAGGTGTCTGCGTTCTGTCTCTCGTGTGAAGTAGTATAATAGGGTGAGCAATATTGAGGTTAGGCGTCGAGTGCTAGGTAAGGAGGGAAAATTAGTCGACAAGGCTGTGAAGTTACACAGATTGAGACGGTTAGGATATGTGTTACGTATATTTAGCCATCGCGTTCCTCAACGGGCAATGTTAGCTGACATAGGGTCAGGTTGGAATAAAGCCACTGATGGTCAAACCAAAACATGGCTTCATCAGCCAACGAAATCCACAACATTTAGTCTAAGCTGGCCATGTTAGGAGTTGTAGACTTCCTCGTTGGAGTCCTCAAGATGGTAAAAGCCAATGGCTGGAGACAATTGGTGATATGGCTCAAAATAGTTCTCAGTGATGGTGCAGATGCATCTACTCATTGACTTATAATATCCAATAAAGCTGCATGGTTCTTTTATATGGCTATTCTTTTTTCCCTCGTATCTGTAAAGTCCCTGTTTTGCATTTCTCTTTACTTTCTTCTTTTGGTTTGTGTGCTAAGTAAAGTGTGGTGACTCGAACCGCTGCCCATCGGCGTGAAGTTCTATGTTGAAACCACTCAGTCAGTCGAGGAACAAGGTTCAGATTTTAAACACTAATGTTATTTCAGTCAGTGCCTCCATATGCTACATAGACTTGGCCCATCACTGAAAGCATTTCCAGCAAGTTACAGACTTTCTTCAACAGCCACCGTCGCCACATACTGAAGAACAGGTAGCTAGAAAGGATCAACAACTAGGAACTCTGGCATCGAACCAACCCAGGACTCGTTGCCCAATAAATATAACGGAGGAAATAAAGATGGACCGGACACACTATGATAGCATGCGCCATACCCCCGACTGGAACCCGAATGGGAAACGACGAGTTGGGCTCCCGAGAATGAAATAGTGTGAGATGAAATCCTATGAGCGATTTCGGAACTAGCTAAAGAGGAATACAGAAAATAAAATGAGATGGAGATGTGCTGATGAAGTCCTATGTCCCACTAG